CCAGCTTTTGTCTGTGGGAGTTGTGTAGCTCAGTGCGTAGTGCACTTGGGAATGGGGAAGACCAGCTTTTGTCTGTGGGAGTTGTGTAGCTCAGTGCGTAGTGCACTGGACTGCAGCTTTGTCTGTGGGAGTTGTGTAGCTCAGTGCGTAGTGCACTGGACTGCAGCTTTTGTCTGTGGGAGTTGTGTAGCTCAGTGCGTAGTGCACTGGACTGCAGCTTTTGTCTGTGGGAGTTGTGTAGCTCAGTGCGTAGTGCACTGGATGGAGAGCAGCTTTTGTCTGTGGGGAGTTGTGTAGCTCAGTGGTAGTGCACTGGACTGCAGCTTTTGTCTGTGGGAGTTGTGTAGCTCAGTGCGTAGTGCACTGCGACTGCAGCTTTGTTGTTGGCGAGGCTGTGTAAGAGTTGTTGTAGCTCAGTGTGTGTGTGCACTCTGGACTGCCAGCGTTTGTCTGGGGGAGTTGTTGTTTAGCTCAGGGCGTAGTGCACTGGACTGCAGCTTTTTGTCTGTGGGCGTTGTGGTAGCTCAGTGCGTAGTACACTTGCGGAATGGGAAAATGGACCAGCTTTTGTCTGGGGGAGTGTGTAGCTCAGTGCGTAGTGCACTGGACTGCAGCTTTTGTCTGTGGAGTTGTGTAGCTCAGGGCGTCGTGCACTGGGAATGGGGTGAAGACCGAGCTTGTCTGTGGAGTGGTGTGTAGCTCAGTGCGTAGTTCGCTGCTCGGGACTGCAGCGTTTGTCTGTGGGAGTTGTTGTGTAGCTCAGTGCGTTGAGTGCGACTGGACTGCAGCTTTTGTCTGTGTGGAGTTGTGTAGCTCAGTGCGTAGTACACTTGGAATGTGGGAAGAACCAGCTTTGTCTGTGGGAGTGTGTGTGAGGCTCAGTGCGTAGTGCAGCTTGGGAGAATGGAAAGACAGCTTTGGTTGATGGGGAGATCCGTGGTAGGTGTGTAGACTCAGTGCGTAGTGCACTGCGGGACTGCAGTCTTTGTGATCGTGTGAGTCGTGTAGCGTACATTGTGCGTACATGGGTGCACTGGACTGGGCAGTTCTTTTGTCTGTGGGGGAGGTTGTGTAGCCGGAAAGGATGGAAAAAACGAGGATAGAAGGTAAACCACTTTAAGGGAATAAGTGAATAGGAGAGAACACAGCAATTGTTTTTGTCTTTGAAGAGTTTTTGAAGAATGGTTCGTCATGCAATTAGAATGGGCCACAATAATGGGTGATAGGAAAAGACGCATCTAAAAGTTTTGTGCAAGGTGAAGTTGGGAGTTGTGTAGCTCAGTGCGTAGTGCAACTTGACTGGAAAAAGACCAGCTTTTGTATGTGGGAGTTGTGTTGTAGCTCAGTGCGTAGTGACACTGGACTGCAGCTTTTGTCTGTGGGGTTGTGTAGCTCATGCGTACGGAGAGTGAGCTCGGAAAGGCCAGATGAAGACGCATGACGAGAGAAACGGGGAGTAGTACACTGGGAAGAAGACCAGCTGCTGTGGGAGTGTGTGAGTCTCAGTGCGTAGGGACACTGGACTGCAGCTTTTGTCTGTTTTTTGTTGGTCTTTTGTTTTATTTTTATTGAAATGGTTAGGTCTGTGGGCGTTTGGTGTCGCTCAGCAGTGCGTAGTGGCCTTGGGCAGGGACACCAGACCGCTTTGTCTGTGGGAGTGTGTAGCTCAGTGCGTAGCGCGGTGGACTTCCAGCAGCTCTATATGTGCTGAGTTTGTGCGGGACATGCGCTGTGACTAACGAAAGAAGCTGGTGTCTTTCTCTTCTCTCTCTTACTTTATGTGTATTGGGTGCCACCATTCTTGTCCAGCATCGATAATCTATACCAGATCAACCTCTAAGGGCCCTTTGTACTAGGCATTGTGTATACATGACTATAGTGTAGGGTGTGTGTTAATTGTAGCGTGTAGTGCGTATTTGTACACATTCTTTTGCACGTGCTCTACGGATTGCTACCACCCACGGTGCCTCCATTCCGAGACCTTCATCGTCAGAGCTACTGGCTTATTTTCAGGTGTTATCTATGACGTACTGTATGGGGTATCTACATATGTATAAATCTCTCTCTAGGACATCACCCTGAAATGAGACCGTCTCTAAGACATCCTTGAATTGAGGAACCTCTCTAATAAGGCACTTTTTCTCCCAAGCAAAAAAAAGAAGAGAATTGAAAATGAGAGACAAACCTCTCTAAGGACAACAAACGTCAAAACACTGGAATTGTGTGCTTTGACTCTGACACCTTCGGCAGCTTTCGCAAGGAACAGTGCACATTCTAGGAGGGTAAAGCAGGAAATGCGAAGGACAAAAACACAGGGGACAGCAGCGACTAAGCGACGGGCGCAAACGCGCGGAAACCGAGAACAAAGGAAAGGGACCGCGACGCACACAAGACCGAGAAGAAGGGAATCAAAGCGGGAGAAGCAAAACCAACACATCATTAAAGAGAGAAGAAAAGATTAAAGTGAACTAAGGAGGAAAGACAAACCAGAAGATGGAAGGTCGAGATAAAAAAAGCATCTGGGTAGGGACGGTGGAGTAGGCCAGTAAGTAATGTTGAGTATGTTGTGGTCCTGGCAGATTTTTTTTTATTTGTTATTTATTTTTTTATTTTCTGTAAGAGTAATTATACGGATTCCGGGTCCCCGTATACTGCTTGGGTGCCCGGGTTTGGTGAACCATTACATCTCCACACTATAACTGAATACTTTTTCAATTATTTTTTTCAATTTTTTTTTTTCTCCAATTTCCATTCATCCTCAAGAAGAAAAGGGCATCCAAAACCCCCAAGAAGGGCTCCCAACACTCCCCAAACACAATGCGGACCCAAAGCAAGAGCGCAAAATAACAAGGGCAAGGGGAAAGAAAACGGTGCACAAAATTTTATATATGTACAGTCTGCAGTTTTAGAGTCTTAAACGATGCGTGAAATGACAGGGACGCTTGTTCTGCAATCTGGATAGCGAAGTTTTGTTTTTTGTTTTGTTTTTTTCTTCTGTTGTTTTGCCACTTCACACTCTACGTTATTGTGTTCCTTCCACCTTGTAACGCTACAGTTTTAGGAAACACCTGGTTTCTATTGGTGCAGTTATGTATGCTTTCACCTTGGGAGGTAAAAGCGGGCGGAATAATAACATTCACTTATGACATTGTCTTTCTTATGTCCACGTGCCTATACAGTACGTAAGGATCCACTCCACACGTTACATTATTACTTATACAAAGTACCGTTGTACTTTAGAGACACACATTCATTATGTCTGTATATACATGTACTGTAGTACTTTAGAGACACTCATTCATTATGTCTGTATATACATGTACTGTAGTACTTTAGAGACACTCATTCATTAATATGTAACTTACAAAATTACAACAAAACGAAAGAAAACTGAGGACACGAATCAAAACACCCACACATAAATTTAACTGGCTCAACAAGTAAAATACTGCACGCCTCGATGACCTCAACGGGAGCGAACACACAAAAAGACCTCCTTATGAGTTTCGCCTGAGAGGTCCGCGAGGAAAACCATAGACGCGACCAACCTCCATTGACTCGACGAGAACCACAAAAAAACCCTAACCACCTAACAAAACAGAGTCTAACAACGAGCACTGCAGAACATCACAACAAAAAGGCATTGATAACATCAAACAACAGCGAACTTAACAAGAAAGAAACACTACGAGGAGTACGGAGGAAAATTAAAAACAAAAACTCGGGAGCCCAAAAACGAAGAATAAGCAATAAGAGGCCGAGAGCCCCCCAACAAACACAACTCAATCAATAAGCATCAGCCCCAAAACACCCCTACCTCTTTATAAAAACCAACGAGGTAGAGAAGATAGCCAGAATAAAAGAGGATAGCCAGCAACTAACACACCCTACACTTCCCCCCAAGGAACAACACCCAAAGCACCAAACCGTACAAAATAACACATCTAACTAGAGTAAAACAAACCATCCTAGGATAAAAACCAAACATCCCATAAAAGTACCAAAATGAGGGAAGAGCGAGGAGGATTCAAAGAGGCCACAACTAATAATTACCCCGTAAACAGGAGCACCAAAAGTTAGGAAAGACGAGGAAAAACAGAAGGCTACAAAAACCACTAAAGACGGAAAGGAAAAAACCCCAAAAAAAAAATATAAAAAAGAGATAAAAAAATAAACACCGAGATCTCACACCATTCATGCACACAGCAAGACCCTCAACAACAAGAATGAATAGGGACCGTACATGCGACAAAAAAGACAACGCTTACCGAGCAAGCCGAAAAAAATATCACAACAAAGAGCGACTCGAAGACGAGGCACAGAAATGAAGAAAAATTAAACACCAAAAACACCCAAACATAAAGAGGAAACCGAGGCAGAAAAACCGAAAGGCAAGTATATCACACATCATTACACAGAGAAGAGACAAGCCCTGGCAGGGATTCGACCACGTAACAAATCCATCATAGCACCCGCACAAACGACCGGAAAGAAGCAAAAAACCGAGATACAACAGTACACTCTACGAGAAAACTACATAACCAAGTACAAAAAAAAAGGACAAAAACAGAAACTGGAAGCAGAAATTAATAAAAGACAGGGACATCAAAAAAGAAAATAAGCAGAATGACGGAAAAGGACACAATAAAAAAGAGATGAGGCAAAGAAATTAGGGAAAATAAAAATAACAACAAATACACCAAAAAAACCAACGAAAAGAACGAAAAAATAAAAAAACAAAAACCAAAATAATAAGAATACGGAGGACCGGAATTAGAGAGGATCTAAAAGAACGAGAGGCCAATCAACGAGAAACGCATCTCGGCAGGAGATCCAACGAGGGATAAAACGGGACAGATTAGGAAACACACATCTCTCACCACCTAGAAGGAGGAAAAATATAGAGGGAGAAAAATGTGAGGACCAAACGGATGCATATTGAATAGTAAAAAAAATAATAACAGATTAGATTATGTACATGTATGTAGGATCCAGACATCATAATGGTGCACTATTTGGAGGTCGAAGGTGAAACAGTGCCAGCAGAGCCTCTCACAACAAATGTTGATTTGTGAGTTACTGAAATGCTTCATCTATCAGGGGGAAGAAGGGCAAGTAAGAGAACGGCGTCAGGTAAAAAAGGGGAGGGGGGGGGGGGGGGGGGAAAGAAGGGAAGGCAGGAAAGAGTGGAGAGAAAAGGAGAGACCGAGGAGAGAAAGAAAAGAGGAAAGCAGGGAGAGAAGACAAAACACCCCCCACTACTACCCGCATAAACCCGACCCCTCTCGGCCCCCACCTCCCCTCCCCCCACTCCACCCCACCGCCCACAAAACCACCCCACACCATTCTCGCCCCATATACGAAATCTCTGGCCACCGTCAGATTCGCCACGCCTCAAAACCCACCCCGCCTCCTCTATCATTTTTAGCCTCCTTCAGTCGCCCCAGACCTTACTAATCACCCACCGCTGACACTCCCTTGTCACCTTAGCCTCCCCACACATTCAGCCTCGCCAATAAAGTTTCTCTTTGTTGTCCTACCACTCGCACCAGAACTAAGAGGAGGAAGGCTGAAATTAAAAAAAGCACAGTAAGATATGACGTCCCACCTGGACACCTCAAGTCCAGTGTAGAACAAGAAGGAATAGGAGAGAAAGAAAACAAGAGGAGTGGGACCAGGAGAGAAGAAAGAGAGACAAAGAGGAGATAAGAAAGAGGAAGGAGGAGCGAAGAAAAGAGCTGAAAGGTAGGAGAGGAAGAATAAGCGGACAGTAGAAAGAGGGAGCGGGGAGCAGAAAGAGGAAATGAGGGAGCGAAGAAAGAGGAACGAGGAGAGATAGAAAGAGGAAAGGGAGAGAAGAAAGGCGGACAGAGGAGAGACGCCCATGCGGACCGAGGAGGAAGAAAGAGGCAAGAGGAGAGCACGAAAGAGGAACGCGGAGCAGCAGACAGCGGAAAGGGAGAGAAGACAGGAGAAAGAGGAGAGAAGAAAAGAGGACAGACGGAGCGAAGAAAGAGAAAGAGGAGAGAAGAAAGAGGAAAGAGGAGAGACGAAAGAAGGAAAAGAGGAGCGGAAGAAAGAGGAAAGCGAGAGAAGAAAAGAGGAAGAGGAGAGAAACGGGGAGAGGAAAAGGGAGTATCTTTTTTCTTTTTTGATCAACCATACATTACTCGTTCTAGCCGCCATTAGTCCAGATTCGCTACTACCAATATGCACTCGTCTCTCCTCCATATTACAGAGGCATCATACCTCTTCCTTCTCTCTATCTGTTGTAGAACACACATTTTTGGCAAGCGAACATGAGTACAAGAGTAGTTTACATTTTATCTATAGTGAGAAACATTATGCCTTCAGACGACTAGGTAGGCACACTTCACTCACCAAGTAATGTGTCCTCTCTCTTCAATCCACCCCTCATTATCTCTAATGGGTCAAACACACACACTAGGCACTCTTCAATCCACCCCTCATTATCTATAATGGGTCAAACACTCGCACTAGGCACTCTTCAATCCCCTCCTCATTATCTCTAATGGGTCAAACACCACCTAGGCACTCTCATCCCCCCTCATTATCTATAATGGGTCAAACACTCGCACTAGGCACTCTTCAATCCCCTCCTCATTATCTCTAATGGGTCAAACACACACACTAGGCACTCTTCAATCCCCTCCTCATTATCTCTAATGGGTCAAACACTCGCACTAGGCACTCTTTAACCCCTCCTCATTATCTATAATGGGTCAAACACACACACTAGGCACTCTTCAATCCCCTCCTCATTATCTATAATGGGTCAAACACACACACACACTAGGCACTGCAGGACGAGGCAGAACTGCGACATTCCCTGGCGCCAGCCAACTGGGCATACCTCACCATCAGCGACAGGAACCTCTGCTCCATTCTCAGTCAGAGCAACACGGCCCTCGAAATACACACCCTCGCCGCACAGCTCCGACTAACGCTCGACCAAAACATGACGAAAGTGGCCACTCTGGACCACGCCATTGCCACGAACAATTCCGGTCTCCCGTTCGACTGGGTGAAAGAGGCACAACCGAAGCGGCAGAGGGCGAGAGTAGCTCCGAAAGAAATCAGTGGGATTTGTCACGACGGCGGCAGCGCGGGTAACAATGCGAGATTGATCAATATCGGAGGTGTTGGGTCAAACGCAGGGGCAGTATCGGAACAGGCAGACGAGAACCAGATTTTGAAAGCTCTGTCATCCTCCCCGCATATCATCCTCTGCTGCCCGCAAAACGGTTCGGTTAGCTACGTTCTGTTGAACGGTGCTTCGCTCGGTGGAGGCGTGGGGAAGGGTACGGCGGTTATGGGGAACGAGCGGGGGAGGGAGGGAGAGATAAACGAATCGAATCAACTCTCCTCTTCAACTGCAGCTTCTGATCAAGATTCCGGAAATTCCGCTGCGTCCATATTGGGAAGTTCTTGCAAAGGGGACCGAGGACCAAAGGGAAAGGCCAGAGCCGATCCTTCAGGCCCTCAGACTGACTACGATTTGTCAAAGTTTAACAATTTCGCAAGTCGGTTGACCGAGGTCGACCCTCTCCAGGGGTTCGTTAGTCTAGAATATGGTGGGGGTCCCCCCGAACATTTCCAGGCCCTCCGAGTTCCCCCAGGGGGGCAAAATTTAGAGGAAGGGGTGGAAGTTAGTGGATCGATGTTGGACGGCATGTCTGGTGTGTTGGCAGAGCAGTTAGTGGGTTCCGGGAATCAGATGCCGCCTCACTCTATAACTCTGAAACCACTTGACAAGGTATGGTATAGATGAGAGATGAGAAAATGACTATACATACATACACGCAGCAATGTATAGATGAGGACGGGCAATAATATTCATTGTAATGTACGTACAGATACAGATTTCTGCAATTTGCTGCTACATTACTTCCTAACCCTCTCCTACACTGTACAATTGCACTGTTCCTAGAAAAGTGATGGGGTTGGTGCACGATGTTTCACATAAGACACACGCGACCTACGTGACCTCTTTGTAGTACAGCCTCCTCCCCAGGCCCTCTTTTCTTTTAGATGTCTTGACTGCTAAGTGATATTCTTCCATCTGTTATTCTACTAACACACACACATTCACTCTTTCTTTTCCACAGGGTTCTTCAAATGCCTCATACACACCGCAAAACGCACACCAAACATTCTCTCTGCCTCCCTATACTTCACTCCCAGCAGCCACTGCTCATCGACTGACACTGAGTCACCCAACGACCATCAGCAGTACTAGCAATGTTTTGGACGACAGTATAGAAGGAGGCGAAGGAGAAATGTTTGACCTTTCGTTGAACTTAGACCCGGAGAGTCTTAGAGATCTCTTGAGAGTTCCGCTGTCGCCAGAAGTGGGCGTGGCACGGGAGACGGAGGGTGGGAGGCGGAGGGAAGAAACTGCGGCCAACGCGATGGAAAGTACTTCGACCCTTTCTCCGATTTCGCAGCTCATGCAGAGTTTGGTTCCGCCGATGGGGGTGGGGAGAGAGGGAGCGGGAGAGGGGGAGGAGAACGTATTTCTGGACGGCTCTTTGCCAAGTGGAGCAAGTCCCAACAGCAGCGGGATGGAATCACTCACAGATACCAGTACTACACCAAATGCCAGTAATTCTGAGAATTACATTGACATTCACAGTGCGCAGTCTGGTCCTATGGACGTTCTTAACACGAGGCTGCCTCGAAACCCGTCCCTCTCGTCTCTACATGTCTTCCCAGAACAGGGCTCACCAGTGAGCACTTCGTACCAGTGGGAAGAGCTCCTACATCGACCCAGCGATACCCTCACACCATCTGAGACGATGCGTCATTCTCAGCAAACGGCCAGCGCTTGCTCTGCCGCACAACCTCGGTCCCATACTAATGCTTCCATGTCCCATACTGCTACCACGTCGCATTCCGGTTCTCCTCAGAGTCTGTATTCCGTTCCAACCTCGGCATATCCTCATCAGCTCTCACCTCTTTCTCTGCCCACAACTAGTACTGTAGGTCTCCCGTTCCTGAGAGAATTACAACAAGCATCTGTAAACCGCTCTTCGCCAAGAAGTGGACGTTCGGCTGATCCACTCAGCTACCCAACAGTTGGCGGTCCCCTCCCACCAATTTCCTTCCAGGACCCCCTAGACGAGGCCGACCCCTGCGTTTTCTCGGGGGGATCAATTCTAAGACCTCTACCAGGGCCTAGTTTTCGCTCTCCTTCTTCCTCTCACTCTCCCTCATTCAGACCTTCTTCACCTCCTCCCTCCTCCGACAGCAACGAAAATGGAGTATCTGCCATGGACACGTGTTTTCTGCCCGGCCAGCCTTCCCTGTCGCGCAGCGTGAGTCCTCGCTCGCTGTCAAACATCCCCGAAGGTGTTCCAATGAGCGTCCTCCTCGACCCCCTCAATAAACACCTCGTTCAGCAGGGGGCCATCGGGAATTTCATGGACCCCCCGACAGGCCTATCACTCGCGCCATCTTCCTCGTACCGAGTCCCGAAATCCCCGACTCCCTCTTCCCCGAGTATTGGGTCCGTTTCGGGGCACTCGACCGTCTCCTCGCTTTTCGACCCGGGAGGGGAATCCCCTTCCGTGCTCGAGTTGTGTGAATTACTCAGCGAGTCTCCCAACGTTCAGCACCACGACTTCTCAAACATGACCTTCACTGGTATATATGTGCTCCAACCTGTTGTCTTCCACTGGTGTTAGCGTATAGTGCCTATGATTCATGTGCTCCAGCCTGTTGTCTTCCACTGGTGTTAGCGTATAGTGCCTATGATTCATGTGCTCCAGCCTGTCGTCTTCCACTGGTGTTAGCGTATAGTGCCTATGATTCATGTGCTCCAGCCTGTCGTCTTCCACTGGTGTTAGCGTATAGTGCCTATGATTCATGTGCTCCAGCCTGTCGTCTTCCACTGGTGTTAGCGTATAGTGCCTATGATTCATGTGCTCCAGCCTGTTGTCTTCCACTGGTGTTAGCGTATAGTGCCTATGATTCATGTGCTCCAGCCTGTCGTCTTCCACTGGTGTTAGCGTATAGTGCCTATGATTCATGTGCTCCAGCCTGTTGTCTTCCACTGGTGTTAGCGTATAGTGCCTATGATTCATGTGCTCCAGCCTGTCGTCTTCCACTGGTGTTAGCGTATAGTGCCTATGATTCATGTGCTCCAGCCTGTCGTCTTCCACTGGTGTTAGCGTATAGTGCCTATGATTCATGTGCTCCAGCCTGTTGTCTTCCACTGGTGTTAGCGTATAGTGCCTATGATTCATGTGCTCCAGCCTGTTGTCTTCCACTGTCCGAAGTGTTAGCGTATAGTGCCGTCCTTTTAATGGCTATCATGCACAATGTGCATCTGTAATTTGGGCGTACAAGTTAAATTTTTCCTTACACTGTATTATGGAGTATAGTGGAACCTCCAAGCTGGTGCTTTATTCATAGCACAGGGTCGAAACAATGTCCTTAAGGCATAGAGTAGAGGTGTCCTTTATTCAAAAATCCACTTCTTTTACAGACACAGAGCAGAAACAGTTGTACAGAGCAATTCAGATCATTCAAAACACATTTCGGAAGTTCAAGGTATAACATATACAAACAATTTTACAGCTTGTAAGGTACAGTAGTAATGCACACGATGAAACAGATAAGACAATTGCATGTGCAGAGACTGGAACTTGCATTTATAAGTCCATTTACTCGGCCTTACTATGCAGAGGTTATGTGCATGCAAGAATCAACTATCACCAATCTATGGTGATCAAACGATTGCCGATTTCTGCCTAATACAGACACAATGGCAGCAGCTACCGCGAGTCGAGGACAGGCAGAAGTACGCAGCACTCCTGATTGAGAACTACTACACCAGATATCGGCAGTTGAAGCAGCAGCAGGACAGAGCGGCTCGCAGGATCCAGCACAACTATCGGATGTATCGAAACAGGTCCAGGGAAATGAATAGGGCTGCCCTCTTTATCCAACAGATGTACAGGTACATACAGTACATACAGGTATTATACACAATAATTTTTCTTTTTGTGGACAAAAATCCAGAAGTATCTAGCTAGGTCACCATCGGTTTAGATCATGTAAAAATGCTATTATGTAAATGAAAGTGTTATTTTTGTGCAGGTTCCATCGAATCAAGAGACAACAACCAGATGCTATGTCTACTATCAGAAGCCCACCGTTTCAACACATTATTACCACCCCTGTCACTACCACACAAAATTAATCAAGCTACTTTCTCTATTTGTACGTCACAAACTAACTCATGGAATATTGAAATCCTAATACTCGTTGCGCATGCGTGTGCTGTACGCAAAATGACCAAGATAGAGGGGCAAAGAATAATGAGTTTGAGAAGTGAAAAGGCAACACAGAGACTGCATCTTTCGGAGGTGTGGTGGCTTTGAGAAAAGCCGGTTGAGATAAAAAAGAAAGAAAAATGAGGCGGCAGTCTAGTATTCTTGGCTCTGAGAGGATCCTTTCTTCCCTCCACTGCCAGCTGACTTCTTGGGCAGGAGAACGGCCTGGATGTTGGGGAGGACGCCTCCCTGGGCGATGGTGACTCCCTTGAGCAGCTTGTTCAGCTCCTCGTCGTTCCGGATGGCGAGTTGGAGGTGGCGCGGGTTGATCCTTTGTTTCTTGTTGTCGCGGGCGGCGTTGCCGGCCAGCTCGAGGATCTCAGCGGCCAGGTACTCCATGACGGCTGCCAGGTAGACGGGGGCTCCTGCTCCAACTCGCTCGGCGTAGTTGCCCTGGCGGAGGAGACGGTGGACTCTGCCGACTGGGAACTGAAGACCGGCACGGGCAGATCGGCTCTTGGCCTTCGCGCGGGCTTTGCCTCCTTTGCCACGTCCAGACATGATTGCTGCTTGCTTGGTTCTCGAGAGAGTTCGGTTGAAGAAGCTCGGAAGAGTGTTTGCCGGACGGGTAGCTGCCTTTTTACTTGTGGAAATCGCCGCCAAAGCTAGCGGGGGGTGGAGCTGAGGATCACTTTCTGGAGGATCGTTTCGCCACTGACCAATCAGAACGCGCCGGGACAACCGGACCACCTCGGACTATCGTGTGAGCGATCCGCGCTCCTCTGAAATCTGATTGGTCGGTCGCGTTTTGATCCTCCTCAAAGTGATCCTCCGCTCTCACATAAAGCAATTCACTCCCTCCGTTCCTTCATCCGAATCTTCACTGTTTCTCCTCAGACTCGAAGACTGAACGTTTTATCGACCATGCCTGGCAAGGTAGCATCCAAGAAAGGCGAGAAGAAGGCGGCGGCCGTCAAGTCCAAGCCCACGGGGGAGAAGAAGAGGAGAAAGAACCGCAAAGAGAGCTATTCCATCTACATCTACAAGGTCCTGAAGCAGGTTCACCCCGACACGGGCATCTCCAGCAAGGCCATGAGCATCATGAACTCGTTCGTCAACGACATCTTCGAGCGGATCGCCACCGAGGCTTCCCGACTGGCTCACTACAACAAGAAACACACGATCACCAGCCGCGAGATCCAGACGGCCGTCCGTCTCCACTTGCCCGGAGAACTGAGCAAGCACGCCGTCAGTGAAGGGACCAAGGCTGTGACCAAGTACACCAGCAGCAAGTAACTCGCCTCCGCTCGGACTTTCTTCTTTTCTTTTTTCTCTCAAACGGCTTTTCTCAAAGCCACCACAGCTCCAATTGGTGCCCTTCTATTATTGCCTATCTTTTATCCCTGTCATGACCTGTTTTTCATCATAATTTTTTCAAATTGTGACAAGATTACTTGCATGATCGTATTGAAGATTGCACTGAACTTAGTAAAAAGTGAAGATACTTTATAGTTTTCACACAAAGGGGTTCTAAAGAATGGAGGTTGAGAGCTAAAGATTGGTGTGTAGTTAGTTCAGAGGATTCTGGCTTTGCTGCCCCTTCGTTCTTGCTTGGGTTCAATGACCATTGACAGTGAGTACTGCTGTTCTTCATCGAAACTTGTTGCAGCTTCCAGTGTACTGTCCAGATAGGCCAGCACCTATGGTATGGATGTAAACGACACACCCACATTATTATCATCAGAAAACCAGATTCACAGAATGACTTATGTGGGTTCCCAACCCACAACATAGCAAAGGTTTTGACTATTGCATTATCACCCTTTCTGCAAAATTCTTTCGCTTGCAAATCAATCTACACCCGAAGTATATACTACGTAGGAGCTAATTCAGAATTGGACTTACTGCTCCATCTGGCTCGAGGCTATACATTGGATTCTGGAACCTGGTGACCTCTTCAATGACAGCGGCAAGCTGCAGTGGTATGCAATCATGAAAGGTGTTAAGAAGATGGGGGAATTAAGTTGGACCCTCCCTATTTAGTATGATATCCTGACCCATGGAAGCAGTCTAATTAAGAACACACACACACACACACACACACACATTCACACTCACCCGCTCGAGCTTAGTGAAATTGACATGTTCAGGGGGATCTTTGACAAACGTCTGCATGCCGACCTCAATTGTGATGAGTTGGTTGAGGTAGGGACCCATGTAGGGAATACTAGGTGCCGGAATTCTATAGAGACAGTCAGCAATAATAATAACACAGGGTTGTAGCATGATACGTGGGCGTGTCAAAGGCACCTACACTGCTGTATAATTATACTACTTATTGAAAAGTACCATCCAGGCTGCCAGCTGTCCTTGGAGCCAGTCAAGTCCTCACTGGTTCGCCGAAATTCTTTTTACAATACCATTCATGCTCATAAACAGAGTGCGTCGTAGTGCACTTGCGCAGTGCTGTAACTCTTATTTTTCCGGAGTGATTAAGTTGTCTCGCGTAGCACACGAAACAGCAGTCTGTAGTAATACAGTAGACAGAAACCTAGTGGAAAATCCTTCTCACCCTCTCTGCTTCTCTCGATACACTCTTGACACTCCGTCCACACTGCAGAGTCTCTTGAACTCCACCATCTGCTCTATCGCCTGTAGAAAATGTATGGCGTATATACAATAAGGGTGGTTCTAAGTATACATGTAACCACACCAATATCTATCATACGTACTTGAGGGTAAAATTTGGAATTGGAAAAACAGTAAAAATGTTGAGTCATAAAAAAAATTTATGGGAGCAAAGCAGTAAATTTTTGGGTTAGAAAAAGTTTTTGTGGCACTAATCAGAGCAGTACTTGGGTTTTCTTACGCTGAGGGGAAGATGGTCCCAGGTCTTGCGGAGACGTTGGACCGGAGTGGATATCAGGGCGGACGTGATCTGGAAGACGGTGACATAGTTGTTCAGTTTGAGGCATATCTTGCAGATGTCGAGCATGCGTTGGATGATGGCACAGCGCTGCTTTATGTTCTCCTGCGTCAGAATCTCCTTTGTCACCCACAGCGTCATCTGTTGGGTTGGTAGATCATGTGACCTTGTAATCAAGACACCAAAATGGGACAGACGAATAATGTCCATATTAGTCAGGTGTCCTTATTTCAGGCATTGCATGAAAGAAGTGTTTTTGGGGAAATATTAGAGGGGTCTCCTCGCATTTTCTTGGAGAAAGGTCTTGCAGCATTAAATTACTCTGAACCAAAGAGGCGCAACTTTGCTTGAGATTGGAGAAAGGTTCCACTTTATGTGTATATATACCTGGTTGAAGTGAGTGATGACGTAGCAGATGTTTGGAGCGAGTTCGTTGCGGTTCTTCTTGGTCCATTTCTGCTGCAGTAGCTCACTGTGGAGGAGTGTAAGGTACGTACTGTATATACAATACACATTGAGGAACCAAAATTCCTTTTTTTAACGCTATAGTGAGAGGTGTATTACCTCCTTGGCTAACTATGTTTAGATTTCACACAGTTTGATACTCTCACTATAGATTTAGCTGACACCGTTGTACTCAAATAGACACGGCTTAACCACTACCGACACTGCTGTACTCAAATTGAACTCACTAGGGCTTGATGCTGGAGTAGAGCTTAGAACTCACTATTATACAGATTTCACTGACACCATTGTACTCAAATTGACACGGGTAAACTCACTAGGGCTTGATTCTGGAGTAGAGCTTAGCTAACTATGAACTCACTACAGATTTCACTGACACCATTGTACTCAAATTGACACGGGTAAACTCACTAGGGCTTGATTCTGGAGTAGAGCTTAGCTAACTATGAACTCACTACAGATTTCACTGACACCGTTGTACTCAAATAGACACGGCTTAACCACTACCGACACTGCTGTACTCAAATTGAACTCACTAGGGCTTGATGCTGGAGTAGAGCTTAGAACTCACTATTATACAGATTTCACTGACACCATTGTACTCAAATTGACACGGGTAAACTCACTAGGGCTTGATTCTGGAGTAGAGCTTAGCTAACTATGAACTCACTACAGATTTCACTGACACCATTGTACTCAAATTGACACGGGTAAACTCACTAGGGCTTGATTCTGGAGTAGAGCATGTGTTCCACCCACGTCAGCTGTGTGGCAACGTCCGACGCACTGACCTCCATCAGAGAGGTCGGAGTGCTTCTCTGAGACTTGGGGATCTGGAGCTGTGGAGGGAGGAAGAGGTGGTGGGACAAAGACATTCATCACGGTCTCCTCAGATACATATGTAAATTGGTGAACGAAATTTTACCCCATGTGCCTACAGACACTGACAAAAGAGTCTTTAGCAGTGATAGGCGCAAGGCCGGGTGAACTGGCCTCGCTAGTTATTAACCTCGGCACGCATGTGCAGAGGGTTACAGTAATATTGGTTTGTAAGTGTGTCAGTTCGTCTAGTCTGTGTATAATCCTGTCTGTTTGCTATCACGTTCTCTGCCACCAGACACAAGAAGACCGACCTTTAGTTTGCTCTTCCTACTGAGTGGGATGTGTCCTCTCTGATTCACCAGTCTACAGAGAGGAACAACAGTTCAACTTGTCACCCATCAATATGTAAGACAGAAATCACCTAGTATTGGTTTTAAACAGCTATTAGCAATAATATGACGCAATATACACGGTGAATTAAACTTATGAGGGAGAACTTGAGAATAACTTCCCAAAATTTTGCTTTAAAAGTGTTCGTATTAAGTAGTTTATCACATGCACACACACATGTGCACACACAGAGAGTATATAAATATACCTAAGGATGGACTCCACTAGTTCACACTCCTTTTCATGTATGAAGCGGTGTTTCTTGATGTCGTTCAGGTACACCACCAGAACTCGCTTCAACGTCACGTCGTGGTGGAAATCCTGACAGAAAAGGGTTAATTTTTGTTTTCTCGAAACTGGTTTAGTTTCATCTTTCGTGTGGGAGTAAACTTACCACATAGTACTTGCTGGCCCACATTTTGAGCGTGTTGAAAAATCTCAAGGAGAAGGCAGAAACTGCGGCCTGTGAAACAAACCAAAGATGATTATAGAGTAGTAGAGGGGAGTGGCTCAACAACGGCTAGCCCGCTAGTTCCGACTACTGGTAGACTCGCCAGCTACCAACTACCAACTACCTACTATGTACGTACTATTGCTGCCCAAAGATGATTATAGTTTAAGTATATAAGGCCAACATAGACAGTACAACAAAGTTTCACTGCATATCGGTTTTCTTCATCTGAAACAAAGCTTGAATACTGCAGTGAGTTTCGACCTGCTTACGTACACCCTAACCTTCTGAATTGAGTACACTCACACTATTTTAAAACTCTTATAGGACTCATAGACATACATACATACATTATTGTCAAAGTCACTTAACTATCACAGTACACACATACACGTAATTTTAACCCCTTAGAAGCTGACTCACGTCTCGTCGGCGTCGTTTGTTCATCTCCTGCTGATGCCCCTCTATGAGAGAGTCCAGCACTTCGTGTGCGTTGGTGAACAAGCGGTAGGTGAGGAGGAAGATGGAGGGGAAGTGGGGACTGGGAGGATTGGCCAGCTTTGAGAAGAGGGTGGGGAGGGAGTACACGTGTGGCCTGCATAGGAGGAGGGAGATGAAGAACTCTCACATATACACATCAGCAAACCAATATATACTGGATTCTATCGGCACGATTTGTTGCGTATTGAAAATCAAGCAATTCACATACAGTGGGACCCTCTAAACTGTACACCATATATGGGACAGAAGTGTGATTGCAAGAGCTGTTCTTGGGAAAGGGAATAAGGTGTCATCAATAGAACTAGAGAGGTGTCCTCATTTCAGGGTTTTTTGTTAAGACAGGTGGTTCCACTGTAGATTGGCGGTTTTTTCTACAGTGGAGAGTGGCAATTTAACCCTTTACTAACGCAAAATACTATTACAGATGATTGGTACCGTCTAGAGTCACAGTTTAACCCTTTACCAACACAACATCAACAATAAGAGTGGCTCACTTCTGAACGATGAAAGGGGGAATTCCCCTGGTGGGGGTCAAAAGGGTCACCATGGAGTTTGACCTCGGGAACATCTCCGGAGGAGGCTGCGGAGAGTGCGACGACGGCTGTGGGGGGCAAAGGTCAACTGGGTCATGTGATGGTCAGGTGACAATTATGTGATACCAAACAGTTCTAGTATTATGGCTATTAACATTCGGCAACAAAAGTTGTAGGCATATAAAATTTACCACCACAAAATGGAAAAAGCAGCGGAAAAGTTGTAAAACTCAGACAAAGTAATATTGAAACCGAAAGCAAACCTGAGAGAGAGGGTTGACCTGCTGGAGTGGGGAGCCCCTCCCATTATGGAGGGAATTGGGGCGTGAACTGGAGGGAGAGACAGGGGAGGAGGGGAGGGTGGGAGTGGAGAGAGGGAGGGGGGAGAGGGGAGGTCCGGACGAGGAAATGTTGAGAGCGAGAACAGACGCCGCTCGCCGCACGATTGGTGGAGATGGAGTCCGGGAACTGTCAGGGTCAAAGGTGCAGTGCATGATTGTCTGAAAAGAGAACATTCAGCAGATGAAACTGAGATATCAGTTGTCCTATAGACTAGCTACCCTACGTAGCTATGGTTACAGAATACAGTGGAGCCCTTCTCTATAAGGATACCCCCAATACCTCTCTAATGAACCTCTCCAATGAACCTCTCCAATGAACCTCTCCAATGAACCTCTCCAATGAACCTCTCTAATGAACCTCTCCAATGAACCTCTCCAATGAACCTCTCCAATGAACCTCTCTAATGAACCTCTCTAATGAACCTCTCCAATGAACCTCTCTAATGAACCTCTCCAATGAACCTCTCCAATGAACCTCTCCAATGAACCTCTCCAATGAACCTCTCCAATGAACCTCTCCAATGAACCTCTCCAATGAACCTCTCTAATGAACCTCTCTAATGAACCTCTCCAATGAACCTCTCCAATGAACCTCTCCAATGAACCTCTCCAATGAACCTCTCCAATGAACCTCTCCAATGAACCTCTCCAATGAACCTCTCTAATGAACCTCTCTAATGAACCTCTCTAATGAACCTCTCCAATGAACCTCTCCAATGAACCTCTCCAATGAACCTCTCCAATGAACCTCTCCAATGAACCTCTCCAATGAACCTCTCCAATGAACCTCTCCAATGAACCTCTCTAATGAACCTCTCCAATGAACCTCTCTAATGAACCTCTCCAATGAACCTCTCTAATGAACCTCTCCAATGAACCTCTCCAATGAACCTCTCCAATGAACCTCTCCAATGAACCTCTCTAATGAACCTCTCTAATGAACCTCTCCAATGAACCTCTCTAATGAACCTCTCTAATGAACCTCTCCAATGAACCTCTCTAATGAACCTCTCCAATGAACCTCTCCAATGAACCTCTCCCTCCAATGAACCTCTCCAATGAACCTCTCCAATGAACCTCTCTAATGAACCTCTCTAATGAACCTCTCCAATGAACCTCTCCAATGAACCTCTCCAATGAACCTCTCCAATGAACCTCTCCAATGAACCTCTCCAATGAACCTCTCTAATGAACCTCTCCAATGAACCTCTCCAATGAACCTCTCCAATGAAGACACGTTTTCTTTTCCCAACTGCTAAGAACAGACGGCACTTAACCCCCGAAATAAGGGTATCTTCAGCTTTATATTTTTATTCAGTCGGTCAGAGCAACGGGTGAGACTGAGGTAAATTTGGTGTGCGGACGGTGGAATGTATATACATACCTCTGATATTTTGGCAAGCCAGAGGCTTTTAGCACTCTGGGTCGAGAAGATGATGATGACTCCATTTCTGGGCCCATCTGGAGAATAGGTCTTCAGCGCTTTCATCTCGAGATCTTGTGCGGGGAGAAGGAGAATGGGGAGAGGGAAGAGGCAGAGAAGTTTTTGCTGATATCAAGTTAGGACTCAAAGTGTGGTCTAATGAAGGGACTTTACTCGTGGAGTCAAATTAACTCTGAACGTGCTAATTGTACATACGTACATGTATTTGCAGCCACAACTGTAAGTACTATTTGGAGTGGAGGAGAAAGGAAGACCGGCTATTTGTCTGGGTGTTGTAGCTCAGTGCGTTGGACTTCCAGTCACTAAGTTTGACTCCTGACAGAAGCTGGTTCTTTCCCTTTCTTTCTTTCAGCGTGCGTAAGCTGACATATTTTACACAAATATAGGACGAACGAACAAGAGAAAGGAGAGGGAGGAGGAAGGGGGATATTTACCTGGGTCTCTGGCAATAGTGACATCTCCATTTTTCGACACATGTTCATAGACACTTGCCCCGGCCAATGGAAACATCTGGTATACAATAATAACAACAAATCATTGTTTGTGTTTTGTTTGCTTCTCGCATGTGTAAACATTCGTGCAAATCATTTGTTTGTTTTGTTTCTTGATCGTTTATTATCTGTTTACATGCAAACAAATCAACTACACCCAGGACAACTCTTTTTTTCAAGAACATTTACATGTAAACACCTGTAGATCATTGTTTGTTTGTTGCATAGATGTGTTCATTTGTTTGTTGTTACATGTCCATGTTTGTTGTCTACTTATACCATTGTTTGTTTGTTTGTTGCATAAATGTGTTCATTTGTTTGTTGTTACATGTCCATGTTTGTTGTCTACTTATACCATTGTTTGTTTGTTTGTTGCATAGATGTGTTCATTTGTTTGTTGTTACATGTCCATGTTTGTTGTCTACTTATATCTTTGTTTGTTTGTTTGTTTGTTGTTACATGTCCATGTTTGTCATTTACTTATATCATTGTTTGTTTGTTTGTTTGTTGTTTACAACCTGTATGTCTACATACTTGGCTCTGGTACTTCGCCTTCTTCTCAGGAGCGATGACAACGAGAGCGTTGGAATAGAGGAAGCAGTGGATTGGTCGATGTTTCGAAGAACCCCACTTTGTTGTTGGCGGCAGAAACATGTCTCCTGGGGTATCGGGAAACGAAAGCATTAGAGAAGCCCCTCCCCTAATTATATTGGTGGGGATATTTTATTAAACTGCATGATATTAAGTGGGACCCACTGTAGTGTCATGCACATACCTTCAAGGATGAGGTTGCAGTCAGGCTCGGTGAGAAGAAAGCCACGGGGACCAACACCAGCAATGATGTCCAACATTCGCTCCCTCTCCTCAAGATTACTGCGATTCCGAGGTATCTCCTGCCATTACGACAACGAAATGAGGACGGACTCAGTTGTAAGGGAGAGGGAGTTCTTTTTAAACTCCAGAATACTCAATAGTGGGTAACTTTCTCCCTTATCCCTCAGGGTTTGAATGGTTTTGCATTTTTTGCAGGCACGTGAGTGAACGAAATGACAAACCAACCATCCCTAATACTTTTACTATAGTTGGAGGGCGGAATAGCTACATTATCTGGCCTCTATGGAAATTTGTAACTTTCCCCCTTACCAAAATGCCTTAAGGTTTGAACGGTTTTGCATTTTTTGAGTATACGAAATGACAAACCGACCATCCCTAATACTTTCAATATAGTTGGACGGTGGAATAGCATCAGAATAGCGGGAACTTTCTCTCTTACCCCCTCAAAAAGGCCTTAAGGTTTGAACGGTTTTGCAGGTACGTGAGTAAATGAAATGACAAACCGACCATCCCCAATACTTTGACTATAATTGGAGGATGGAATAGCAAAACAATCACGCTCTATCTTTCCTCTAGTGTATCTTACACCTAACTTTTGAGGGGGTAAACTCGTTTTGGCAGCTAACGCGAATGAATTCTACGGAGTAAATTTCTGCAGATTTCTGGCCCCACGATACCATGCGGTGTGTACATAAGTATAGTACCTGTCTGATGACTTGCAGTCTGTGGAGGGAAACTTTCAGTGGTCGGTGGTCAATGTGCTCGTCATTCGTGTGTCGTAGGATCTCCTCTATGAACGATAGGTAGATAGCCAACTGCACAGAGAGGATCATGTGATCCTTATGACATATTATGACGTCATACTGATTGTATGCTATGTATACAATTGCTTGCCGATGTCACTGGTTCGATTGCATTATGATGTCATACCCTTGTTGTGCGATAAACATTTTTCTTGGTAGCCTATGATTTACCATGATTTGCACAAGAGTGCATGAAGATATTAGACCATGTGATGCCAAGAGAAAAAAGATGGAGCTCTGGACAGCTGTTTGGGGCTTGTTGGCCCTCATCAGCAGAGCATACCACAACTTCTCTCTCTGGCATCACCAGTTTATAAAGGCTGACATGAGCGCAGCACTTGTGGTTCTGAACTAATGAGATTCATCCCCACAAGGCTTTGCCACTGGTAGGTGCATGGACCAGTAGCTACTGCCGTATGATGTCATAGTCAATTACGTCATTATGTTGTCATACCCTTGTAGTTGGAGCATACAGTAGTTGTTTGAGCTGCTGGGCCTCGCAGTCATGTGACCAATGGTAGTTCTCCATGAATGCTGTGAATGAAGGACTGGAGAGACAGTCCTCCAGGGCCTTTGGAGAGAGGAGAGAGGAGGAGGGAGAGAGGAGAAGGGAGAGAGGAGAGAGGAGGAGGGAGAGAGGAGGAGGGAGAGAGTAGAGAGGAGGAGGGAGAGAGGAGGAGGGAGAGGAAGGATAAAGGGAAAGGGAAGAGATTAAAGGAGGGGAGAGGAAAGATAGGGAGAGAAACAATGAATAGCTGACTAGGACATTTATACTCTCTTTAACTTATATTTCTTATTTGTGGAATGTTGTCAAACTAACCAGGAGGCTCCGCTTGTGGTTGCGGATGAACTCGCAGTACATCTTCATCTGATGGATGCAGCTCGCCATGATGGCCCCCACCAGCTGCTCCGGTCGAGACTCCGCCTCCTTCAGCTGCTCCAGAAACAGTCGGTGGAACGACAGGAGGGTCTCACTGTAGGTTCGAACGGAGAGAGCTGTCTTCTATTCCCAATCAGGGGCTATATTATAGTAAAGGACTGCTGCTTACAGCCACATAGTTTTGTGCCTCGAAGCCGCCATCCCTCCCCCCTCTCTCCCTCTCCTCATTTACTCCCTACTCTCCATTTCCCTCACTTTACTATATATGTACATCTTCCCCCCAATTCCCCCTCAACGTATAGTGGGTTTATATCACTGTGTTTGAATCAATGTCCCAAGAAGAAGAAAAATAGAGTCAACTCCTTTGCATGCTTGCACCTGGACGCAAAATGTAATATTGTTCCCATATGACAAAAAACCTGCTGTACGATCGTTCATTCCCCTCCTCTTCCCCTCCGCTCCCTCTCCTAACCAGTTGAGGAAGATGGTATCCAGAAGGACGGTGGGTAGAGGGATGAGACCAGCCGTGATGGCCAGTTTAACCTGTTGGTAGTACTGGTCAGACAGGACCAACAGGTCACCCACGTAGCGAGACTCGCTCGAAACCAGTTTCGCTATCACCTGCATTTGAAAATACTTTCTTCTCCCCTGCCTCTATGCACATCACACTAACAAACCTAGCAATACACAGTATGGTACAGAGAGCTAACGTTGAATTGCACGTTTTATAGATATCATTTCCATGACGATTACATGTTTCCATGACAACCGCATGTACCCAAGAAATGGCTTAAATCGAGTAATCGGTAATTGATTTAGTCAGTTTTTAATCCATTAGCATTTCTTAGATCAAACTGTAAAGCCTGGGAAAAGCAATCAACGAAACCATTCTCTTCTGAATCTGAGTTCTCAAAATGTTCCTTGCTACGTATTATGGTATAAAGTGTACACACACATACACACACAGAGAGATATTTTGTTCTGATGATAAAGTCACAAACCTGTGCTCTCTTCTTTGCCTGCGTGGCATCTGGTAGACTGAGTACCTTTCTCATGGAATGCTGCCATTTCCGTCGCCAGAAATTGTCAATTGAATTGATGGTCTGTGAACAAAACAGTCGACGTAAGGGTTTGCTTCGAGATGAGCTATAATCATGTGTTCCAACATAGACGTGTTGTTGTGTGAAGATCCTCATGCAACTTCATTGATGGGTCATTACAAGCCTACTAACATGCTACTGTACTTCATGGACCCATTATACCCATAGTTTATTTCAAAAATCTAAACTTTGCCACTGCTCGCTATACCATTGCTCGATATACTCCGAAGTCGTGGGGCTTGTACTACTGGCGTTGATGAAGGACTTTTTTCCTGCAACTTCTCCCCATGCTAGGCCTTCTCGGCCACCCTTCTGAAGAACAAACCGTCACGCAAAACTGATTTTTTTCCAGCTCGGAATCGTTACTTACAGTTGTAGTAGCATGTGTCTCAGTCTTTGAAACGCTGAGCCTGTGGTTAATTTAAACACTTTTAACACAATCCAGCTAGTATAACAATCCTCTGCGAGGTGGAACCCCTCTCTAAAGAAATGAGAAAACCTATCTAATCCCTCTTTTTGTCCGCGAACCAATTTCCTGGTCTTTCTTTTTCTTTCTTGCCTTACCTCCTGTAAAATATGCCTCTGGTTAATAATTGGGCTCTGTTTACAAATTACTCAACACCACTAGGTTTTTTGTCCCAGAGACAGAGGGCTTCATTGTATGGCCTTTAAATCTTCCGTCCCACTGTAGTCGAGATTAGAGGGGTTCCACTGAATATTGCAGATCAATAATATAACGGTTTGTCACTGAATGTGGACTAACCAACAGTCTGCAGTTGTCAGCCACATCTCCTCCTGCTCCTCCCACCGTCTCTGGACACAGTAGGTATTACCTCAACACTGATACAGAGTAGCTCAGGTGAATAGCCGTGGGAGCTAGGATTGATGAATAAGTATGGAGACTCTCATCAGGGGCACCTGTTATTGCTCTAGTTCTGAGTTGCTAATACCACCGTAAATAAACCTCTGGAAAAAAGGCACACCTCTTATACCACTTGGACACCAGCACAGCTCTCAGTGGGACTATGTAGGGTGATGGAGACTCTTATTTTGCTCTGGTGTGCTACTACTTAAACTCTGAAAAAGTGGGGAACACCTCTTTATACAATTGGACACTCAGCCACAGCTCTCAGTGGACCATGTAGGGTGGATGGAGACTCTGTAATTATTGCTTCTGGTTGCTATACTTCACCAAAATCTGAAAAAAGGACAACTCTTTATAACAAATTGGACACCAGCACAGCTCTCAGTGGACTAGGTAGGGGTGGATGGAGACTCTTAATATTTGCTCTGGGTGCTAATATACGTAAACCTCTGAAAAAAGGACAACCATCTTGTCGACAAATGGACACCAGCACAGCTCCTCAGTGGACCTATGTAGGGTGGATGGAACACAGTGGAACCTCTTGCAATGAGGGACACCTATCGAATGGTCACTTCTTACTCGGGTGCTCTAGTTAGTGATTTTACTTTATGGTGCCGTCAAACCCGCTACCAAGAGAGAGAAAAGTTTTACCTCCCAAGTAAAAATATTTCTAAGAAAGAGCATCCACTTATGTCAGAGTTCAAACCTAAGGCATAGTGACTCGAAGTCTAGTGCAGTCGTAAGTCGTACTTACCCACAGGCAAAAGTGGTGGTCCCCATCAGTCTTATACACACACCACCACTGGCCAAATTTTGATAAAAGGATAATGAACGATTAAGATTTGTGCACGCGCTAATTACCGTGTTTAGATAAAACAAACATGAGACTCAAGTAAAACTATAGTGTGCTAGCTACATACATAACTCACTCACAACAACGGACAAACCGGCAAACTCGAAAGCGGGAGCGAGTGCAATCTTCAGATTGCTATAAACCGGGCTCACTTCCTAGTCCAAGTAAAGAGTGCACACATGAGCTCAAGTCCACGGGAAGCGTAGGAGGACCCGAGGCCATGATAACATTTCCCCATGCATAACTCTCCTCGGTGATGGCTGCATAAAAAGCCTGTCCTATTAGCAACATGGTCCGGCCAAAGGCCTCAGTATAGGCTGCATTCTGTGGTCTTTGCATCAATAATGGTCTGGG